TTTCTTGTCCTCGTTTATTTGTAGTCGGTTTGCAAAAGGGTGCCTTGATCGAACTGCCCAAATCGTTCTTGGATCCACGGCGCACATTAGACATGACCCAGGAGTTGATGTGAGTTTGTGTATCCTCAGGTAGTTGTATAAAGACTGCTATTCTAAAGCGTTTTGCATTATTTTCTTTTTTTACCTCCATTTACTTGATGATTTTCATTGTACGTAGAACAAGCAAAGTGTAAACTGAAAATCTAGGAAGCACTGTACAGCTGCTCGGATTTTGATAATTCTCACCAACTGTGCGAATTCTATGGCCCTGGTAATGATCGAACCTCACTTGTTGAACGCAACCACACTACCTAGTTGTTTACAAGGCGGATGTTCACACTGTTTCGCTTTGTCTATCCACATACTCGGTGGCGAATTCCGGGTCATTTCTGTTAACTTCCAACCGTAGCATTATAGTTCAATCAATCATTTGTGTTGCTATGTCCCACAAAAATCAATTCACAAATAGCGACGGGTTTACAAGACACGTGATGCAGTGTGGTACATTTATCCTACATCAGTTTGAGAACCCATCGGGTACCAACGCAGCCAAAATGAACGCCAAGAAGTAGAAATGGGACGAATGCATTTTAACGGTTATCATCCATCAATGTGGCTGGAAAACCAATCGCTCAACTTTTGCCGTCAACCGTTGACCTTTCACCAGGTCTCCTTGATGTTACTCGTTTTTTTTCAGGGAAGAAGGTGTCCATCCCTATGCACCCGTACTACCTTTGTCGGACCAAGCTGTGATTTCTTACAATCAAACAGTGCTTGGTGTACGTGCCATTCGCACCGCTCCCACAGGCCTTGAATCGACCAGTCTAGTGTTCGCATACGGACTGGGTGAGTTTTTTGTCCTTTTTGCGCGCATTGTTCCTTTGACCGTTGAATTCAACGAAGTAGTTCTTTTTTTGGGGGGGGTCACCAATCGTGCAATCTAGTGCTGGAAATAATAGGCGGCATGACCGGAGATCGCGCTTACTTGTTCATACACTCAGATTATCCAGTGCGAAAATGTGATCTACCGAATCGCATACGTGCCTTTCGCATGTAGTCAGCGTTCACCAATTTATGTAGACAATATTTGCAATTTTGTCTGAGAATTTTTGTAATGATCGTGAAAGAGGACTGTTCAGCAGTACACACTTTTGTGTGTCTCCTCGATTTCGCATCGTTGACCTCCAGTTGGGCTTCGGTACCCTTCGGAGATGCACGGTTAATGACCCTCCCTTGGGCGCATAATTACAGTATTTCTTTCCCTTAGTTGATATGTGGCTATGGCTATAGCCGGAATCATTCTTTCGTTTTCATTATCGGACGAGAAATCAGACTCAGTCAAGCACCTATCCATCGGGTGTCTAAAAGGGATATTCACATCTCTCTGCCAAAGGGGAGTCAACAATGCAGCTTATCACAGCGTGTAAAAACGCCTTGCAACTAACCTACTATGCAGTCGCGTTACGTCTCCATTCGATCACACGGCGTTTCGTTCGCTCCGGTTCAAGGATCTTAGTCGAGCGTGCCTCCCACTGTATTTACACTTTCTGTTGCAGCTGCAACGAAGCATACACTAACAAAACCGACCAATCACTGCAACCTAGAATGCCCGAACACATTCCTATGTACATCCTTGAACCAGTGACCCAGCCTACTTCACAGATTCTGACTGCATCAGATAGACGGATCTCGGCCATATCACGCGGTTTAGTTGTAAGCGGTCCCAAGGTAAACCTTGCGAAGGCGTTCTCGGTTTTGTTACGTCATCGCGACAAACACCGACTAAGAATACTAGAGAAATTATCAAACACTCACGGCAAACCCACGTTATTTGTTCAAAAGCGTTTGACCTTTACCCTCGGCCTTCTTTAGTTGTAACCAATCCTATGCGTCGTACACAAACAAGATGAAACCAGCTAGATTTCTTGATTCACTTCATTTGTCTATCTATTCAATTTCGTACGTACGTGACCGATGAGAGTATGCAAAAGGAATTCCTCTCGCAGTGCTCTGCTTCTGACTTGGTTGTTCAAATTCAATAAAAGATTTAGTATATGGTTGTAATTGCGATCGGACATTTCCCAGAAAAACAAATAACATATATAAGTCGATCACTGAATGTGCACACACGCACAGTCCTAGCACGTAGTCACTGGTTCTTTATGCTGCAGGAAGAATAACGGTCATGGCGCATATGCTTCTCTGAAGTTTCCTTATCACTTGTCTTAGTTGCCAGAACCGATATTAGGTTGGGTAACTAATGGATAGTCTGATTTCACCTGCATGCGTTTTCAACCTTCAGCGGGTAACATTTAACTACACGAAGTGGTTGGTCCTGCTTCCAATCTCACTCTAACCGGATAAGTAATGGAGGTGGTAACCCAATTTTCTTATATGGGCTGTTACATCTCACCCGACGGACACATCGCAGAAGAAGTGGCCGGTTGCACACAGACTGCTCAATGGGCATTTGCCAACTTGAGACATCTGTGGCGCCCTCGCCATATCCGGCTCTCTGTCAAAGGTCGAGTGTTACAGCTGTTCAACCGATGCGTTTATACGGTGCAGAGACATGACCGTCAAGTGACCAGGATAGAAATAGGCTGTCAGTATTCGAACACCACTGTTTGTGACGCATTCTTATTTCAAGCTTTCAACCATTAAACATTCACTATCGTGTACCGGTTTTGACTGCCCATTTAAATTAATCAGTAGGAGAAAAACAGGAAAATCGAAAGTACAGTCGAAGAGAAAATGGAGAAGTTCAGTGGACCAAGGCTGCAAAGAAACTAAGAAGATGCACAAACACCACTGCTAACGACTCTCAGCCATATGATTCATTGTCTCTAACCATCGGTTTCAATCATCCTGAGGTCCCGGGGAGCTTAACGCGACCTATCTGACCGAGTCTCCTGGTTATGGGTTTTTATGCCCTCATGGTGGGTCTTATTTGGATTAACCTTGGCTTTTTACCACCCACTACCTGCCTCGGTAAACACCGCGTACTGTGGCAACCT